TTATAGTTTATAATGTAAAAGCAACTGTTCAAAATTCAAAGTTTGGTAGATTTTTGATTGACTTATTGTATCAACCTCAAGAATCTTCTTGACTGCAACATGGAGTTGTAAAGTTTGTATTAGCTTGTCCCTTACGCCCCTCAATATATATACTTGTATATGTTCTTTTGATTAACTTATATACACTGACAGTGTAAATAAAATTTTGCTTATCAGTGTAGGTTAATCTGTCGTAATGTCGTAATATTCCTATTTTTTCAGAATTTAGCTTATATACATAAAAAAAATGTAAGTATTTTCATACTATCGGTTAATAGCCGAATGTAGCAGGTTTCATATCTTATTTTTCATGTAAATAGTTTCAGTAATTATGAGAAATTACTTGATTGAAATGACCTATTTAATAGTACAAAGATTATTTTGTTCTTTACACGTGGTTATCCTTGATATAAAAGTGTAAAAATTATTAAATATGCATTGATGTGTTTGGATGTCTTTTACAAGCAATATAAAAAGGGTATGTTTTTCATTACATTTTAACTTTATCATATTAGTAAATATTGGATGTCTTTTAAAAGCAATTCAAAAAGGGATTTGTTTTTCTTTCTCACTTTAACCTTATCATATTAATTTTATTGAAGGTCTTTTACAAGCAATTCAAAAAGTGGTAATTGAGCCTTTTGAAGTTTGGCTGCCTAATCACTGTATATGGGAATATCTCGTTGAAATCGACCCTAATTTGCATGTTTTCTTTACTTGTGTGCATGAGATTTCTTCAATAGGGGTAGACTTTGTGGGTACGAGAATCTTGTTGACTTTGAGTTACAATTATTGCTATGATTGTTCCCTTTTTAAAAAAAACAAAAAACAAATAAAGCATGTAATTTAGAAGCTTTAGTCTTACTCTTACCAAATTCTTTTTTTAGAGTAGATCAGTTTTATGATTCATTATAAATATCTTTTTTCTTATTGTAAATATAACAATTGTATAATGTATACTATATATTGATTATACATTTACTATATACTATATACTAGCTAAATGTTTTAAAAAATAAAGACTCAATTTTTTTGTGGGCATGGACTGCTGTATAGTGTAATAATTCCTTGAAATTTTCTGAATTACACTTCATGCAGGTAAATATTTAAGGCCGGACCACCTAAACTTGTATCCGTTTGTTATTCCGGTAAACGAACTTAGAACTTTTTCATTTCAACACATTAACTATTTCAACTTAACTATTTGCACATTATTTAACTATATTATAATTCACGAAAAACACCTAATTTGTACTCATTGCTTTGATGTAAACAGAGGCGGATGTAGCTTAGTGGCTACGGGTTCAACTGAACCCATAACTTTCGATGCGGAGTAAAAATTTATTAAAATTGCAAAAATAGTAGATATGAACCCATAACTTTAAAAATATAATGAGTTCAATGTTAAAAATTTTTAAATTGAACCCATAGAATTTAAATTCTGGATCCGTCTCTGGATGTAAAGCATGCGTACTAGAAATTTTTAACAATCTAAACACCTCCATGTTTATATGATTGGTCATAGAAGTTTTTTTTATGGTGTTCGTTCGGATAGTATTTTAATAAGCTTTTAATTACCATTAAAAGTATACACTATTAGAGCCCGGTTTGAGTTAGTTGATTCTAAATAATTGATAAACGTAACTTATGATCACCAATTACACAGTCGATACCAAATATAATCTTTCGGCGTTCAAGGAAATTCTAAACTTTTTTTCTTCTTCAGCATTTGGTAGACCAAATCCACTTATCTGATTAATTTGTCTACTCACTGAGGACATCTTAGGTAGGAGCGGAGCCGAGATTTTCACTAAGCGGTGTCAAAATATATAAAAGTAAATATACGAAAAAATCAATGGGAGTCAACATATAGTGTATATGCATATAATTTCTACCTACACAATGTATTTTTTATGTAAAGGGATATCAGTTGAGACTCCTTGCTATAAGGTGGCTCCGCCAATGTCCTTAGGGGGACCTATGTTCGGAGTACAAGGGTCACCGGACATCGTTAACTTCGGCAAAATTTTTAAATATACATATGTTTATATATATGCATATATTAAAAATGATCATATACTTTACATGGAATCCTTAAGTTCAAAAGTTAGATGGGAGCACTAGTTGAGTAGTTCATTTATGTGCTTTCGCCACCTTCAAATCTTGGATATGCCTCTGTTATTGGGTATTAACGAGACAAGAGCGAGGCACTGAACATAATCTACCCTCGACCTCCATCCTTTATTAGTAATCTCAATTTGCTTTTCCTATTCACTAGCATGTGCGCCTCTCTAAAGAGGACTCTATTTTTATATACTCGAAATCTCTAATTAAATTGTTTTTACCATTCTACTACATCCTTGGATGGTGAAAATTCCAAACTACCAATATCACACTTTAATTCCATAGTCGAAAGTATATGTTATGTCTCAATAAATTATTTTTCCACTTTTTGAGTTTTTTTCAGAAATAACATGCAAAAAGGAGAGTATCACGGGAGGAAATTAACAATCTAAATGGTGCTTAGGAGTTAGGACTCAAAAGTTTACTATATTAAAGTGACGTGAATTTAAAGAACAAAAGATATTAACTGATTGATTATGTTTTTAACTACCAAAAAGATTCGGGAAATGACTAGAAATTAATTTCTTAAAAAGCTCTTTTTTAAAATCTTTTTCTTAAATAATCTATATTTAAAGAATATCTAGGAGATTTCCTTCAAGTTACGTCAAAGTCTAAGAGGAAAATATTTAAAATTGTACGGAGTATAGTTCTACTTCCAAGTTCCAACTGCTCAAGTTAATTTTGGTATACTAAAGTGAAGTACGTAAGAATAACGAAAAATAAAAGGTAAATTTGTTGACTAAATATTATCTTTTTTACAATAACAAAATATTAAAACCTTCTTTAAACAATAAGCGTCGCTTTGGCCGAGTGGTTAAGGCGTGTGCCTGCTAAGTACATGGTGTTTCCCCGCGAGAGTTCGAATCTCTCAGGCGACGATTTTGAATGCTTTGCTTTTTTGTCAGTGGTTAATAATTGACAAACTTAACCATTGTTAATTAATAAAAATATATATTGTTACTTCGTAAATCATTTAGCGGAGAAGGATAAAAAATGCCGAACTTTTATAAAAGGTCTAAAAATACCCTCCATCCACCTTTTTGGTTCACTTATGCCCTTTGACCGTTTGGTCAATGCTGAATTTAAAAAATAATTATTTAAATTCCACGTGACGACTTCTTATTGGTCGAAATTAAAAACATCTAATATGTTAGAAAGATCCACCCCATATCTACTCGTTTTTCGGACTAACCCGCTCCAAACACTAACCTAACCCAAATAAAAAGTTCAAATAAAAAAAAGACGCCCTACTTCCATCTAACCCATGGATTTACATGTGTTCATTTTCTTGATTGATTTCATGTATTGCATTATCATCGAATATAGGTTTATGAACAAATTAAACAAACAAGAAAAGTCTAGCATGAATGAGTCAATGATTTTCTTGATAATAATATGGGACGGAAAACTAGGGGTAGTCCAACGGTTTATGATATCTTCCAAACAATCACTTTGAGATCTTTCCGTTATGTGAAAATGATTAAATTAAACTCATCTTGAATATAATGCAATTTGTGTCTATCGTGTAAATTGAATCGGATGCCATAACAAGAAAAAGAAAACTACGTAGTAAGTTTGTGTCTATATGTTCGCTGCAACTTCCATGGAGCTTTTGTTCTATGGAGTTTGATAGAAGGGGGCCTTTTTTTTTTTAGTTGAACTTTTTGTTCGGGTCGGGTTAGTGTTTGAGGCGGGTTAGTACGGAAAAACTGATATATATGAGTGGGTCTTTCTAACGGGTTAGATGTTTTAATTTGGCCAATAAGAAGTTGCCACGTGAAATTTAAATAATTATTATTTTTAATTCGGCACTGATCTAAACAGTTAAAGAGAATAAGTGAACCAAAAGGTGGATGAAAAGGTATTTTTAGCTCAATAGGTGGATGAGAGGTATTTTTAGACCTTTTCAAATAACTTAGGAGCATTTTTAACCCTTTTCCACTCATTTAACTATAGTAAATTGGTACTATTTGGTATACACACTCGGTGTGAGAAAATTTTGCCCTCTCTCTAATGCTTTTCCACGGTTCCACTCTAGCATTATGTGAATCCACTATTTCATGGTTTCAAGGAGTATTGGATGATTGTTTTCAATGTTATTTTGGTCAACAACAATAATAAATCCAGTGAAATTTTATAAATATAATATGGGGAGAGTAATGTGTAGTCAGACCTTACCCTTACTTCATGAATATAGAAAAATCATTTTGGGTATATCACAAATAGAAAGCCTATTCTGCAAACACCTATAACACTTGTGCGTATATTTTGCATGCGTATATAAGAAAGCCTGCTGCAAATCCCTACAATACTTTTGTGTGGGTATATTGCATGCATGGACACACGAGCACAAAAGGTCATTATAAAGTAATCATTACGTTTTATGCTATTTTGCATTATAAAGTTACATTAGCCGGCAATTTTCCAATCGCTTAAATTAAAAATAGCCAGTAAAAATATAATATGTGCATAATTTATGTATTACATGTGTATAGATATATATAATTAATGTATAATATATGTATATGGCTAAAAAAAAGTAAACAATAAATATGACCGGCTATTTATGTAAAGATCCCTCCTCGCAATATGCTTCATTAAAAAGCAAAACAAATAAACCATTCAGTTGACCTCCACTATGATGATCCCTTTGAGCTTTGATTTTCTCAAGACTGGTAAAAGAATATGCAATTGAGATCAATATGATTCCTTTAACTTATTTCCACCTGGTTTTCTTATCGTTATCCAACCTCCCTTTTATTTACTTTCCTCTCTGTTTTTTCGATTTAAGGATTATATCACTGCTAATATTTAAGGAGAATAACCAATGCTATTCATTGACACACTCCTCAACGAGACAAGAATTAGCATAAGAAATGGAATCTCCAATTACAGTTCATTCTTCCGAGGCAACCTAAGACAGACATGAGAACAAAAACAAAGTTTGAGTCCTTGATTTTCATATCTGCAGAACGAAAATGGAAGGAACATAACTTTTTAACGTCATTGATAGCAGAGAGAGGACAGGGACTTCAATCCAACAGACCATACTTCAGAAACTCCTATTCACTGTACACCAACAATAAATTCTAGTGACCATACTTCTGAAACTCCCACTCGCTGTTATCTGAAAGATAGAACAATCATCATACATATACTTAGGATGTAACATACTATAGTGGCATTTGTATTCAAAGACAGCATCATACAACTTACCAAGTGGACACACTTGACGAGTCTTGAGCCACCGACTAATGCAATGGAAGTGGAATGCATGGTTGCAAACACCTACAGCGATCAGCAGATACGGCAAACAATGAACTCCCAATAACAGATTAATATCCACATCCAAAATGGCATAAACAGGATTGTGAGTGTAGCATAACTTCTAGTCAATCATCAATTTCATACACTACAGAAAAAATGTAGACCCACTCAGAGAGGGGTCAAAAAAGGGAGCACCAGATATAGCAATATTTGACACATTTCTTACCTTGTCAAGAGTGACTCAAGGAACTTAGTGGTCATTTCTAGAGGATGAGATTTGTTATCTTCCAGAATTGTTTGCAAAAGATGCCGTAATTTTGTATAAACACAGATGAATACCAGCTTAGAACGGAAATAACACATTCAAGTGACGGCAAGTGTCAAGCATCTAATGATACAAAAGACATGCAAAGCATAGAGCTGGAGCAATTCCAATTTAATATTCTCTGCCAATAGCAACTTAACACTCGCTACAACAAAGCTTTGAGGGAAAGGTTTGATATGAAGATCCTTTTCATGTGGTTGTGCCTTATCAGTCTGCACCTCTACTGTACAAACAATAGTAAAGCGCTATAATGCAATTATCGTAGGCATTCAGCTAACATACTTTAGTATAGCACATTAATCAAAGGGAGAAAAATGCAGAATTATATCTGGTAAGTCAGCGTAACTTAAAGGGAAAAAATTAACATAGTTGTTAGCTCGGAAACATACAAGTGGATGACCAGCTGAATGATGAAATGTTTTAATACCATCAACAAATGACATGCATATCCCAAGCTATCACGACTTCAATCATGACCAAATCACAAGGAAAGTTATTTCTCGAAAACGGAAGAGGTATTCTCAAAAACATGACTTATCAAAACAGAAACATGCGCCCATTGTTAATCTAAAAAACAAAAGAAAATACATTCTAGGAAACAAAATTGATCAAACAAATAAAACTGTTTTCATCTTTTTCTCCACCAAGTAACTAAATGGCTTTCTTCTTCCTTCATATTTCAGTGGTATACGGATATTGGTCTTTCCTATTCACGTAGCCTCATGGTTAAACGGGGGAATTACAAAGGGTGGGAGCGAGACTGTGGGTATTCTGTTTGTTGATGGAGTGTATGGGCGAGATACAGTGAGAGGAGATACAAGATATTAATCACATCATCTTTTGAGCTCATACCGCCGGAGCAACAGATGACTTTTGAGTTGCAACCCAAAAACAAAAGAGGAAGCAAGAGGAGAAGATGAAATAGAGAAGATGAAGGAGAAGTAAAAATTGACAATCATTGTACTTCTCTGGATGACAGAAAATTAAAATAGCACAAATAACCTTCTATTAGAACCATTATAATCAAATAAAAAATGTGGATGCCAGAAAATAAAAAATAAAACAAATAATCTTCTGTTAACACAAAGCATGGTTACCAAAATCCCAATTCAACTCTTAAAATTCTGGAAAAAATTCAACAAAATCTAGGTATACAACTGATCTCGACATGACACTAAGTTCTTCTTGTGTGGTAATCTCTTGTTTAGTTATCCGAAGTGTTTCTATCTTCAAAAGTATGAGCTTTCTGCCCCATAAATAGACAAAACTTCTTCAAACTACACCCAGAAATTCCATTTTATATTAGGAAAGCCAGAATTCACTAAACAGTTAACTTTACCCCAATTTTTCTAATTCACCTACATTTAACTACAAACTCTAACCCTAAGATTTGTTTTATGGACACTGGCTTTGAGAGAGATCAACCTCCTTCATCTAACACAATTATTGATATTGCAGAAGAGCATTAATCATCCAATACCGTACAATAATTAAGGCACCACAATTGCCTAAACTCTAAAATAAGGTGAATCTACCTCTTAATAACACTGAATCAACCACTTAACAATAACTACATGACCATTGGCACAAACACATCCTTCTTATTATCACAACGAGTGAATAGAATCAAGTAGTTTTATGTCTTGACAAAATCTAAGGTGTCAATAGTAGCACACATAAAATGCCGCATAAGTTGATTCCTATGCAACTAATTTCATAAAGAGCATAAAAGTCGCGGCGAATTGACAATTCTCACGCATAACAAGAGCAACATACCCCAAGCAACTGTACATTCCTCACTTGTCGCGCTAGCTTGATTAGCTTGACACTCGATACCTAATCAAAATTAGCATAAACTAAGATCGAATATTAAGAGGATAAAAAATTTAATGAATGGTATCATATCAGAGAAAAAGAAACACCGGCTTCAACAACGTAGAAAAGAGAGCCAAAACTCACACAGATCCATGATGTGATTCCTACAGATTGCACAATTATCTACCACAATATCTGCAACCAAAGTCACAGGATTGATTATTGAACGTAAGAATGTAAAAAATTAAAATAAATTAGATAGACCAGCTCAATGTAATTCATGAAAATGTGCATGTGAATAAATCAAATACACACACAAACACGAAAAAATACACAAATGGAAGTACAGAACTGCTATTAAATTTATAATATCTTTTCAATATGAACCCCAGAAACATAAGATGTAACAATATACAAGGATCTTTCTTAATATATAAGGTAACAATAAAGTGTTACAAGGACAACAATACATTCAAAACAAACATAGAGGACAAATAGTCTGTAAATAAAACATCTATAATCAAACAATCTCCTTAAATCGTTACAAACAACTTAAATTGTTGTAAGCACCTTCCACTTAACGTTGCTTTCTAGTCTTCGATTCACGCATAACAAGTACAAGCTTGCGTGTACACAACAACATTACCATAAGTACTTAACTGACTTTAAATTTTCCGAGAAACAGCCATCTCTAATCTCATGTAAGTCAACATACACAGAGCTGATGTTGCAAAAACATCAAGAACACAAGCATCCATGGACATTCAATTTTTCAGCAAGGATCGATCTATACTTTCACCTCGAAAAAAAATTATATACAATAACTATGCCTCAGTCTCAAACAAACTTAGGCCGGCAGTATGAATCCTCAGTGACCATGTTACTCCATATAAACTCAACGCAGTCCATTATAATCCAAAATAACAACAACAACAACAACAATAATACTACTACTAATAATTACTAGAAGTTCATTATATTTTCTACTGAGTACAAATTTTTGAAAGGCTAAACAACTCCTAGAAAAGCATAGCACTCGAAAAAAAAGTATATATAGTGTAAATTCCTAAAATATATACAGTCAAACCTCTCTATAACAACCTTGTTGGTTCAGATATTTTTTTGGCTTTTATAGTAAATGGCTGGTATACACCTATAACAACATTTGACGCAAAATATATTTTGGCTGTTATAGACAAAAATTATCCAATTTTTTTAATGTTACATATAAACGATAACAAAATTATTCAAATTTAAAATCTCAAAAGATATGCATATTTTACTAATTAAATATTAAGAAAATTAATACATTATTAATAAATTTATAACTAAATGTACAAAGAGTTAATTCTAAGATTACACGTTTTAAAGCTACTAAAAATAAATTCTTTAAAGATTGATGATAAAACTTTGTAATTGTAGCTTATTTTGTAGAATCCATTCTCTTACTAGCGATAAAACGCTTGAATTGGCAAAATTTTATGTCCAAATTTTCAGCAAAAGGATATCTGATAGCTTTCCCTTGAAGGCAATCTAAGTGCATAACAATTGAATCCTATATAAAAATATTTTTTGGCATTTGTCCAATGAAAAACATATCATGTGCAGATCTTATGTATTATGCAAGATGGAAACTTTGTTAAATGAAAAGGATTATGTGCATATTTTTAAAACTATTATTAGTAATCTTAGAGATTCTATATGGCTTTTATAGAGGAGTAATTTTACAAAAAACGTTATGCTACAAATATGGATGTTGTTGTTATAGGTATAAAGTTGTTATAGAGAGGTAAAATATAACTTAAAAAACCGGTTCCGACGAAAACTTGGCTTTTCTAGTGAATGATTGTTATATATGGATGCTGTTATAGAGAGGTCTGATTGTATTTAAACCATTCACATGAAAAAACAAGTGCAATGGTGATTCACAATCACTAGTTTAAAATATTGATATATCACTGGGTTATGGTACTTAAAATCAACATAAATCTTCCACCAGCACAATGTTTAACCTAAAAAATAGATTTTGAAGTTAAAACAGTTAAATAATTCGGATTTTTAATAACTGATTTACTTCACTTTTCCAAGTATAATCAATATGAAAAAAGAAACAAATGATAATAAAAAAACAGAAATCTTATTGATGATTGCAGCCTTTCTTCTGTATGAAAGTAATAAATCTTCCAATAATAGAGAACTGTAACTGGCAGTATAACTTAGTAGTTTTTCGATGGGATACAAGATACAAAAGGGGGTTTAAATAGTATTATCATTCGTAACTGTTTGTCTTGTTTAGCTCCTGCCATTTATTGCATTAATTGTCCGTGATTGATTTGTAACGGTTGAGGTAATAATAGCAAATCAGGGATTGGCTGACCCTTTCCATATTCGTAGCTATTAATGACCTTAATTATCAATCTCGTGGCTATACTCTTATGTTTAACCTCGAGGCTAATAGGCACGGTATATGTGCGTACAACCTCAAGGGTGTTGCACACATCATTCTTCTTTGCCGTGATAACATCTGTCATCACAAAATAAGTCCACATGGCGAGTCTATTTTTACTAATACAGATAGTTCCCCCACTTTCTGGATATTATCTATTGAATATTCGGGAAGTAGAGAGTTTATTTATGGCGGGAATGTTTTGCCGCCTCTTCCCGAGATAATTATGACGTGCTGCTGAAGTGAAGAGACATGCGCTCCTTCCACTTAATGCTCGAGACACGTGTCTTGTTGCGATTGGTTTTGAAGTTTGCAGCAGTTTTTCAAGCACAAATGAGAAACCACTGCAAACTTCATAACCAATCGCAGCAAGACACGTGTCTCCAGCATTAAATGGAAGGAGGACATATCTTTTCACTTCTGCAGCACGTCATAATGATCTTGAGAGAGGCAGCAAAATATTTCTGCCATAAATAAACTCTCCACTTCCAAAATATTCACTTGAGAATATCCATAAAGTGGGGGGACTATCTGTATTAGTGGAAAATAGACTCGCCACACGGACTTATTTTGTGATGATAGTTGTCATTGGAGTTATTACGACAAAGAAGAATGACATATAGAGAAGATGTGTGCAACACCCTCGGGGGTTTTAGGCACGGTATACGTACATATACCGTGCATATTAGCCTCGAGGTTAAACATAAGAGTGTAGCCACGAGACTGATAATTAAGGTCATTAATAGCTACGAATATGAAAAGGATCAGTCAATCCCTGATTACACGAGATTTGCTATTATTACCTCAATCGTTACAAATCAATCACGTAACGGACAATTAATGCAATAAATGACTGTAACGACCATGAGCTAAATAAGGCAAACAATTACGAATGATAGTACTATTTAAACCCCCTTTCCATATCTTGTATCCCCATCGAGAAACTACTAAGTTATATTGTCAATTACAAAATTCTATTACAGTTCTATATTGACAAGAGTGGGTTGCTCTAGTGGTAAGCACCCTTCACTTCCAACCAAGAGGTTGTGAGTTCGAGTCACCCTAAGAGCAAGGTGGGGAGTTCTTGGAGGGAGGGAGCCGAGGGTCTATCGGAAACAACCTCTCTATCGCAGGGTAGAGGTAAGGTCTGCGTACATACTACCCTCCCCAAACCCCACTAGTGGGATTATACTGGGTTGTTGTTGTTGTATTACAGTTCTATATTATTGGAAGATTATTACTTTCATAGAGAAGATCATCAATAAGATTTCCATTTCCTTTATTCTCTTAATTTATTTCCTTATTATTATTTGTTCCTTTTTAGTATTGATTATACTTGGAAACCCGAATTATTTATTTAATTGTTTTGACTTCAAAAACTATTTTTTGGGTTAAACGCACATGTACCAGATAACTCTGCCCACCAAGGATTCACCTTAGAAAAATACACACACACACATTATATATTGACATGTTCTTGAATTCTTAAATAACTCAATTTATGTACATGTATGTATATGTACACTAAGTTCACAATCGTCACGAAATACTAGCAAGTGCAATGGTACTTAACAACTACTATTAGTTTAAAATTTGAATAGGTCACCGGGTTATGGTACTTATAAATCAGCATAAAATCGTCAAATTTACACACCAAAAATTGTAAAGGAAAGACAAAAGGAAATTAATTAGGGTTAGAAATTGACCCCAAGCCCAGAGAGCAACAGCATTCCACTTTTTGATTTCAAATCGCTTGGGCTTTTTAGTGGACGATCCAACGCCGGTTGAACCCTCGCCGGCGAGAACCATAGGTACGTCGGTGTCCGGTGATGCCATTGAATTTCAAAATGTGTTTTAGGTGGAAAATTTTGTAAGTTGATGTTTAAGTAAGAGAAGTTAGTGGGCCTGACTTAAGATGAATTGGACTGAACTGAAGCCCGTGTGAATCGGGTGTAAGCCTAGTCTTTTGGATCAATTGTCCAAAAAAATACTATGTGAATTCTCCTACACCCTACTTTTTCTCAAGAAAAACAACATTCGACTAGAAAAATGCTACCTCTGATCTAGTAAATACACATTTGGATTAATATATTAAGATAAATTAACCCTCCCCCCTCTCTCTCTCTATATATATCATGTATAATTAGTATATAAGTTATATATCAATAGAAAACGCAAAAAAATACTGTACCAAAAAATTCGATGGTATTTTCTTATATTATTTAAAAAAAGAAATTGAAGAACCTAATGGATGCGAAAAAAAAACTTAATGGATCAAACTTGAACTCCGGCTGACGGGATCGCCTAGCGGGTTCACTGTGACGCAAACATGCCTGTGAAACTTTGTCACAATATTTCTTTGTGACAAAGCATATCAACTTAAAGGAATAATTTTTTAAATAATTATTATAAATATTTACTTATAATTATTTTACAATTGACTTAATTATATGTAGTAAATATTATTTTACATTCTAAAAACTAAGCTCACAAACTAAACCTTTGTGGAGCAAAATAACAAAATGGACCTTTATGTTTGAAGGTATGTTTAAAACAGTTAATTGAATATACTCATGCGCAATTGTAGATTTTTGAGTTTGTAAAAAATGAGCACTTTTGGACTTCAAAAAATATTTAACAAATTTTAATTGTTAGATTTAAGGGGAACTGCAAGATATAGAAACTCATATTTGGAGATGCAGTTTTTGTAATTTCTGCTAGTATTGGTCTATTTTTGATATATTATGAATTTTTTACTATTTTATATCTATTTCTAGTGGTTAATGCAAATATTGGGATTTGACTAGATTTTCTGGTGTTTATAGTTAATTTTTTTTTTCCTAACAGTTCCTGTTAAATCTAGTTTGTTTAATGTTAGAGATTAAAAGTACTCATTTTTTACAAATTAAAAAAAAAATCTAAAAAATATATTTAAGGTACTATTTTAAACATACCCTTAAATGGACCTTTTCTGTCAAAACGGAATAAAGAATCTGAATTAGATAGTATGAAGGAAGCGAAGCAAAACGGTTTTAAACTGGAAATATTAGAAAGAACAAATTCATCGAGCTACAATAAGAAGATTTAGAAGAAGATGTCAACGGAAATACAGTCTTCTTTAATCTCTGCATCGGCAGACGAAAATAATCTGTAAGAGCTAAATCCTCCAATCTATTCGCACCACTGTTGTTGTATATATTTATACTGATTGTAATCGTCAGTTTTCTATTTTTCATTTTCAAACATAGAATTGGAATTTTAATTACCTGCTAAGTGAATAATTTTTGAGCTCACGTTTTCCTAGCTAAGAAGCTGAAAATTCAGTAAATACTTGTACATTCTTTTTTGTCATATTCTTTGTTACGTAATTAGGGATTTGAACTTAGTTAAATTCAGTTGGAATTACGGGGAATTGTGCTTCGGTTGAGCAAACGTTAAATTTGGGAAGTCGAAGTGTGTTGTTAGGATTTTGCAAGGACCTTAGTCACTGAGGAATGTGGGGGATGAATACTCCTCCCTTAACAAGATGTCAAAGGTTCGAGCCTNCAGATTAGCTGAGCCAACGGATGCCGGATACCGAATGGTTAAACCAGAAAAAATGATAGTCTACAAGGGTCCCAAGGGATTTCCTAGTGGTTGAAGAGCTAGAGTGACAACCTTGGGAACCAAGGTGGGAATCCCAGCAAACACGACAGTAGGTTAATATACTTAAAGCCTTGATGAATGAAGTTACCCAATACTTGTGTTGATGGGAGATACTTTCTAACTAGTTGATTAATCAAGGTGTGTGCATGTTTATTGAACATCACCGTTGTAAAGAATGATAATTTACAAGGTTGCTATTGTAATTCTTGGACAAAGTTACAAAAATATTAAGTGATTTCTTCCTATCTACTGTGCTGGTGGGAAGTAACAGGTATCCGGTGGAATAGTTGATGTGCGCAAGCTGGGTGGAACATCACTGTTATAAAAATAAAGTCTTGGTTAAACTTTTTTGTGTTTTTTTTTTGTTTATGAGCTTCAGTGCCGTATGTGAGCTTGACAAAGAATAAAAAGTTTTGAGAAAAGGATGTGGGTCACAATAAAATTATGGTTATGTTACAAAAGTGTAACTATGTTGAATCCTCCGATACTAAATTTTTTGGGACGTAGCCGATTAGGTATGTGCAACAGTCTTGGAATGAAATGAGTCTAGATGAAACATAATGGATACAGGGGATTCACACAGTCTATCCCTATTAGTTTGGGATTAAGGTATAGTTGATTGAATTTCTTCTATGAGCTCCTACCAGATGTTGATTGACTTCTTATTGTTCTCTAACTGACTATACTCTCGCATCTTTAAAGTCAGCACCTTAACTGTAAGTTAGAAGGCTGTAATTTGCGAGAGTATCTCTAAAGGCTGGAATAGATTAAAGGAATGGAGGGAGAATTTCGGATGATATACAGGTAGTGTGTAAGCAAAATAGAGATGTCTCTAGGGAATCATATGACTATTCAAGTTAAATGCTGAGACTGAACAATAAGTTATTCCTGTTTTGCCTAATACTTCAGCTTCTCTTGCTTATAACTAGTTATGCTGCTTGTTCAACTGTAGGTTCGTGGACGTACTGCATGAAGCACCTCTATCCGGTCATAGGAAGCCTACGAGCATTATTGGGAGTATTTTCTACTGTTTCTTATTGGCAAGTATTAGTTCATGAATTTTTTGTGGCTTGACAAAGATTCAAATTTAGCCACCTTCTAGGTGAACTAATTATGTTGATTTCTAGGCAGGCTTTGCTATTTTGGGGGTGGGAGCTACATGGATATTTCATCCTATAGAAGGATTAGTGTTCCCATTTCTTTGCAGTTGTAATGTTGCCCTCCTTGTTGTCACAGGTCCGATATGAAGTCAAATTCTTTTGCTTCTTTCCTTTGCTTTCAGCAAATCATAAGTTTTAAATCTTCTGCGCTTCGTTATATTGTTCCAGCAGCTGACTTCCCTCTATAGTTCTATGCCTAAAACATAAGTGTTTGATATCTGTAGGCATTTTTCAGCAATATCTGGTCTATCAAGTTAAGAAAATACGGTTACAGGTCAGTATTTCTATTATATTTCTGATAACAATATGTACTGACCCCAACTAGCTTGGGATTGAGGTTTTGTTGTTGGGCTGGTGATTAATATTATTCTTTCAATATATAGCCTGAGATGAAAGTTATTAAAAAAAGTTAAAAACAACGCTGGAAGGGCAATGGATTATATCAAACTTCCTCAGCTATAAATGATTATATTACCACATTGGGTTGGATATAACTTTCATCCATACCTGGCCCTTCTCCTCTCCTCTCTTGTGACATGTGCACAAAAGAAAACATGGAATAAAAATTATCTCTTTATATATTATCTTGGAAAAATCATCTAGTTGTGAGGTCTTCTGCATATTAAATGCTGTTATGGTGCCAAAACATTCATATTATTCAAGTGGCTTTCATAGTCTGGTCTAAGCTAGTTTGCACCCCACGGATTTTGCAAAGTGGTGTGTACCAGTAAGTTGGAAAAGCAGATCAGTATAGTAGAAGAACCCGATATACAAACTGTATGGAACTAAAGGTTTCGCGAATGAGGTAGTGTATAATGTTACTGGAAGCGAATTGTAGAAGTACCTGGATATTGAGAATGGATCAAGGAAATCATGAGTGCTTTTTAGCCCATTAGTTGCTTCAGATGGGTTTCCAGGCTTTGGTTTCTTTTTTTCGCTTTGGTTTCTTTTTTTCTCTTGTGTCTATCCTGGGGGTACAAGAAAGATAAAGTCAGTTAACCAAGTTGGCAACTTCTCTGCACTATAATTCAGATACAAATTCTCAGGGTTCCAGTGGTCTTTCTTTTGGTGAATGGGAGACTTCTGGTGGCATTACTTGGATGGGAATTACATTTTACTGCAATATTCAGTTATCAAGATTGATCATCGCCCATCTTCATTGCAGTGTTCTTATTATTCAAAATCATAAGACAAGCGGCGATTTCTGAAATTTGCAATAATCTGAACTTTAAATTTTGTAGGGGTACTATATTTTCAGCCAGAAACTGAAGCATATTATTCGCCTTCCATTTGCTACAATCGCGTATGGTACGCAATACCTGGTCCTCTAGTTTATGCATCCATCTCTTCTTTGTACTATCCTTTTTCTTGACTAGTTTTAATCATCGCCAGCGCAAATCTATGGTCAAAACAAATCTTGCTATAGTATCCAACTGTAATTTTCACATGCTGACTAATCTGCTATAGGTGAATTGCATCTTTGTTATTTTCTTGCAGAGTTACAGTTATTTTCTACGTATAATATTGTTTAATTTGCATATGGGGGTCCGATTTTTGATTTCAATTATGCAAAATTTGGATTCTTCTCAACCCTCCACTACACTCCCAGAAAAGGGAAAAAAGAGAGGCTGAGTAAATATGAGTGAGAAGTTATTAACAAACTCTGAGCTTAAAAGATAATTTTCATGAGCATAAAATGTGTCCATGAAACAAGCTAAGATCATTAAATTTCTTTTTCTTTTTTAAAAAAATCTTTACTGCTCTAATTTCGTGTCAGATTCTTCTGTTGTCTGAACAATACTTACAGGAACTACTAGTTTAATTCCTAAGTTGCTTTCGTAATTGTTCAAAAGATTTAAGATCATTTTTCTTCTGTTGGTTTTTAAATGGATATCCATTTGAAACACTTCAATTACAGGAACCTCAGCGATGCTGCTTGTCATGGTTTGGGATCCACGTATTAGCATCCTCTCTATATCGACACTACTCAGGTTTACATTCCAAGAAACTGGCTGCATCTATTTTCTCAGTTATGCGCGGCTCCTTGCATAAAGAGATGTTAATTTAACAACTTTAAGTATTGAAATGGCCCCTGGCGACTTTTTCCTTCTTAATTTGTGATAATTTCTCTGATGTATACTGCAGTAGTAAATTATTCATTTACGAAGGAGTGCTATGATATAGTTACGTTGTATGAAAAAATAAATGCTAAATCTGAGTTATGCTAGACTAGCACCAACTTAGTGCTAGACTTTGTTATCTCCAAAAAATAAAAAATCTAAGTTATGGTAACACTTTTAAGCAAGATAGCATATTGAGTCAGATAGTTGGTTTTGAGGATAGATTTTATAGAAACCTTTAGGATTTCACGTTTTGGATAACTAAAGCAATTTGAAATGCGGAACTTTGATGGGGAATAATAACTTTATTACCATCCATTGACAAGTTATAGACGAGGAAAGTGAGACTCTCAAGGTCTTATATGGAACTTTATTGGAGCTTTAAGTATTGTCTGCTATGTTCCAAAATGAAAAAGGTAAAAGAACTGACTTTCCCTATTTCGTATTTAATTTGCTTTGTTTTGAAATAAGAAGAAACGTTTTAACTAACAACCTGAAGACATTTTCAGTTACAATATTTTCCAGAAAACTCTCACAGATGTAGAGTGTAATGAGGCAGACGGTAAAATCTAAGCTGCTTCCATCTTCTCTCTAGTTTAGAGAAATCCACTTAAATTGACTGAAAGCAAATGAATGTGAATTTGTAATTGAGAGACATTTTCGATTTTGATATTTTCCAGACTCGCACAGATGACGAGTGTAATGAGGCAGAGGGTAACACCTAAGCTGCTGCCATTGTCGCTTTGGTTTAGAGAGATCCAGTTCAAGGACTGAAAACAGTGAAGGTGGTTTTGATATATTGGTAGTGATCCACAGAAAAAAAAAGGACCAAAATTGTCAGTTTTTGGGGGTGGGATTTATATGCATTTGTATTTGGGCATCGAATGTACTTCATGGATGTGGCCTATCAACTTCTAGTTCCCTAAGAACAATCCATCTAAACCCTTAAAATCATCATTCACGGGAGGCGGAACAAAAGACTTGAAGGTTTCACTGACTCAGGCCCGATCAGAGAGCCGCTTCTAGGCTTTTTAAATTTCAAAAAGTTAGGACCTCATGGATATATATCTAGTTGCATTCATGCAGAGTTGGAGGTTGCATGAGCTATAGCAGTGGTATTGAAGTTTATATGTTTATTCTTTCTAATGTTTTCTATAGCTTCGTTGCTTCCTTATTCAGGATCATCATGTTGGCTGAAGTAGTGTGTGCTGGTTCTTTCATGACAGTCTATATTGGTGAGTAACTTCCTTTAAGGGATGCCTTTAACAAGAGTCAGTAAAATTTTATTGTTTTCAAACCCCTTAACTGTCTAGAAAAGACTCCTGCAAAATTGCATGAAAGGGAGATGTTAGCTAAAACTTAAATCCTCTTCATATTTGGGAACTGAAAATTGTTTTCTGGCTTTGAAATCACCTATTAGAAATTCCGACCTGTTCTATATTGTCAGGATGTATTACATGAGAAATAAAGTCAATTAAACCTTCTACTGACTGCAGGTTGTGTTCACCAATACAATTCATTGGATTCCCAGCCCGATGTCTTAAAGTCACTTTATTCTCCACTTCAACCATCAAGTTCTCTGGAAGGTTTGAGGTACCTCACAGGTTTACATTCTGATTATGGAAAAACATTATGTCCATTAATTTGGTCACTGTTACTTTACCTTAAATTTGTATCGGATTATGGAGGGCTCTTTCATGATTCTATTTAAAAAAGGTGCCATGCGTGTGTAATTTCTGTGTCTTCAAGCATTTTTAGCCACTTTTTTTATATAAAAAACTAAAAGTAACTTCAGCACGCTTCTCTTTGAGTCTGTAATTATATAAAAAAATATGCTCTACTCTACTTGACAAGGAAACAAATAGTGCAATGTGTTTGGCAAGTCAAATTACTCCTTTCAGTCCTTATATAGATAATTCTAAAAAGCTTTATTAGGTCTTGTTGATTGCATTAGAGAGGTGTCTAAACTACTGGCTGAAATCTGGGAAAATAGGAAGTTTTGTTGAAGTAATGTAATAGCAAAGCTAAAATAATATAAAGGGGTGCTTATTTTGTTCAAGTGTAAATCTGGATGATGGGAACTTTGCATTAAAGAAAAAGGTAAAATGAATTGGGATGACCAAAAATGAGTTGGGTCAAACACATTGGGATTGACAAAATTGTCATCTTTGTTTGAGTTCATGAATGTTGAGATATAGTTAGTACTGATAAGAGCTTTTGCTACATGACATCTATTTTGATTTCTGATATGGTCAAGCATTTGGTAGTTGGAGAAGTGGGAGGCCTTTGGAGGAATAACTGATGCTAAAATAATAAATCTCAAATATCTTTTTATGTATGTTTTCAGACCGATCACTATGTATTTGTGCTTTTATCATGTCAGTGTGACATTATCTTTATGGCCCTTGGATTGGGGACTTCTGGAAGAGATGGAAGAAAGAGCTCGACAGTTGCTTCAGTGCTTGTTCTTGATGATACAAATGATAATTTTGCTAAGAGCCTTTTGTTCTATAGGTACCAGGACGGTGGTCGACTATCAGATCAGCAGATGGCATTGTTGCAATATCAGCAAGAAAATATACACTTTTTGAGTGAGGAGGTATGTGGTTATTAAAAACTCCATGTTACTGGCAATGCGCTTCCCAAGCTTTTTGGTGGTTGGGGAGGGGATAGAAACTGGATTTTGGGCTGCTCCAGTTTTTTAAGTTGCTAATCAAGCAGCTAATAGCTCATAGAAGATATTTATTATAAGTTAAGAATCTCTTGTTTTCTCTTGGAAAGGAAAGTGGTATAGACATTTATAGGTATTGTCTCTTCAGGACGTATGTATCCCTTATGACCAAATGGATTTTATTCCTGATTGTTCCTTCTGGAACTTTTTCTTTCTTTTCTCTGAGTTAATCTAATTCCTTTTCTTCCAGATTCTTAGACTGCAAGAAACCTTAAGCAAATACGAAAGGTCTAATGATGGGAGTGCACCTCAGGTATGTTTGTCCTTGTCAAAATTGTGTTGCTGTTTCTGTACTATCTAGAAAAGAAATAGAGTTTACTTGTTGGCTTCAGAGTTAATTGTATTTAAGCTATAAGAATAGAATGAGGGGAAAAAAGAACTTGAAAACATGAACTTATAAGATCTCAGTGGAAGTACTGTCCTTTTAAGATTATCATCCAGCTTTTTTGTCCCATTAGTCGGGGCATCCAAAAGGTTGGCCCTGATTCAATTATTTTGACCGCTCATGCTAATGACTTTTGACTAACTGAGCAAGTAGTAACTGGTAGCAACTGAAAAGGAAAAAAAATTCCAAAACTAGATGCTGAGAACACTATTGCATTCCTTCTCAAAAAAAGAACACTATTGCATACACCAGCACTTTCATCTTTTATGATTCTCTCAAGGATTTTTCTTTCCGAAAGCAAAATTAATAATTTGGATATTATGGACTGCTGATAATGGAATCAGCCATGTTGATTAGTCATTAATCACTTGGATTTGGTACTAAGATTTCAAAATGATGATGTTGACGAGTCTTCTTTGTTCTGCCAGGTCGATCTTGCTCACTTATTGGCGACTCGAGATCAAGAGTTACGCACACTTAAAGCTGAGGTATTATGTAGCTTGTAGTATTTTTGTCCCTCTTTCATTTCCAGCTGACCTATCGTTCTGACTACTATACGTGCAATTGCATGTCTGTTTTGTGGCTTCTTTTTGAGTGAGATTCTCCTCTCATTCCCTTTTTGTTTTGTGGTGGAAGTCATTGGTATTAAGATTGTAATTTCTTTTCTCACAAGATTCTTGCTTTCAAACTGGAATTTTGCTCTGCTTGTTTTATCCTTTTCTCTCTTCTTCTAAATACTTGTGTGCTTCAGATGAATCAATTGCAATCTGAGCTGAGGCTTGCTCGATCTATAATAGAGGAGAAGGATGCTGAGATTCAGCGTATTCGCAATGCAAATAATCAGGTGTGTTTTAAAATGCTTTAAAAGTCAAGTAGCATTTTTGGGTTGTAAAAACAAGTAAAATATTTGGTGTAATTACAGCTGGGTTTAATTTTCTTCTAGGGACGGTCACTTGTGTTGATTCTGTCTTGCTTGCATATTTTTGTCTTTTCATTAAGCAATTGGGACGTATTTGCTATTAAGAAAAAACTTATTAGAAAATAACACTTTAGTATTAGCTTTTGATGTAATCATTGTAGGCCTAATAAAATTGGACCCTTTTGAAAGAAATTAGCACATTGATCAGACTGTACTTTTGTATTTCTTGGGTCTTTTTGCTTCCGGTGTTAATTAGTTTGTTGGTTGCCAACTGTCATAGTTAGTTATATCTGATTTGTCTAATGTGCTCCAATTACATAAGGCTTATATCTTGACTGATTTTTTCTCATTCAAGCTAACCCTAATAGTTATCCCAAATGTACCATTTAATTTTAGTTGTATGAGTTCATCTCAAAAAAAATTTAGTTGTATGACTCACTTATATTTAGGATAATTGAAAGTTCCTCTTTTTGACAAAGAAATATTATGAATTTATGCATCTAATTTTTCCACGGTGTGGTTTCCCTTGTTTCACCTAAATTTGAGGAGCTCAAATTTTTTATTTTGATGGATTGTCTTCCTTTATGGTTCATTTCTTCAAGTATAAACAATTACGAGAAAATGTCTTTGCCACCTTGGGACACGATTAGATTTAAGTATTATTTTATTTGTGTGACAATCTGTCTGGAAAATGAATCTCCTGAAAATGTCAAGATAGTTTGGCTTCGGCCATCTAATATACATTCTCAATCTCTAGAATTCGGATATCCAACATAAACAGTAAAGTCACATTACTACTGTATGTAGCATGTAACTGTGAGATCTAGTGAAAGGCAATTAATGATAGTCCAAACACACATCATCCATTTATATGTCCATGTCAACATGTAATTCTTACATTTACATTATTGCTATGTCGAGTTAATTCAACTCTTTCTGAAATTCTGCGATTGATAATTAAATTATTTCTCATCCCACTTTTTCATTGAGGGAGGTAATTGTTGATCCTCTCACTCCTGGGAGTAGATGCTTCTCTGGGATAGGAAATAAGTTTACCAGTTTGCTTCTATAACACTATTAGATGGTATGAAAGAAATTATAAAATGAAGTCCAGACACATTTCACCGTCTAGGGGTTCTTTTACTGAATACAGAAGGTATTTCTAGTGCTTGGCTGAGTGAAACTTTGTATGGTTGCTGGCAATTCCTAAAGAACCATATACACTGGTATTACAGCCGTAGTTAGTAGTTACTAACAACTAGCGTTATTCTATCTGAGTATCTTCATTGTCTGTCTTGTATAGTTGTTGGGCTCTCGCTTGATCTTGCATTTTTCTTTTTCTTTTTTCAAAGTAGTTTGCATGACATCTCTCTCTCTCTCTCTCTCTCTCTCTCTCTCTCTCTCTCTCTCTCTGTAACAGTATGTTGAAGAAAATGAGAGACTTAGAGCTATTCTGGGAGAATGGAGCAGCCGAGCAGCTAAGGTAGTACTTCATCGTTTGTGGTACATTGCTATAATATTGTTGTTTCCTTTTCCTCTTCGCTAAAGTAATACACCATATGTTTTTCTTGGCTGGATAAAAGCTTGAACGTGCTCTGGAGATGGAAAAGATGTCAAACTTGGAACTGCAGAAAAAACTAACCACACTGAAAACTCAAACGCGTGAATAGTGCTCGCAAGTGGTTACTTTTCTAACAGTTTTAGGATCTTTTGCAACACTATGAAGAGAAGGGTATCTACAGAAGATGACTATGATACCGTTCTTGGATGACCTCATGGTCCTATCTACTGCACATGTACAAACTAAGCCATCTTAGCCAATGCTCTCAACAATAGTTTGCTTTTGCTGTACATTACTGCTATAGCCAAAACTTTGAAGGCTGCTTTTGCAATGTCAATGTGGCCAACATGGGGTGACATTGGAAGGAGGAAATGATCTCCTATGCCTGTTTACAATTTGAACAGAGGAAAGTGACTCGACCAAGTTCTCGTGTTTTATGTACGGATCTTCTATATTATTTTTTACTTATATCCTATGCAAAAGGTCATATCAATTAAAATAGCATTTGTAAGAATTCGACTGATGTGGATAGTGTGAAGGCATGGCAGTTGGTACAGGAGTAAGAATGCTGGTCTCCTGAGTCTAACAATCACAAAGAAGGATACTGTTAGAGTAGGGGTGTCAAATGGGCTGGTTGGGCTTATTTTGGGCGGGTTAAAATGGATTGAGTCAATAAATAGGCGGTCATTGACCCGCCCAAAAATAACTTGGCTGAGATGGGCTGGGTCAAGTTGGGCTAAAATTTGGGTCATAGACCAACTCGCTCAACTTTTATCAAGTTTCAATTAGTATGTATTGTTTTCTAATAAATTGTTTAATTATCAAATAAGACTTTTTTTTTTTCTTTTGTTATGGTTATATATAATATATCAAACAAAAAAATATATTTTAAAGTTATTTTAGCAAAGTTATTCATGGATAAATTTGGGCTAAAAATCGGGTGAAATTCAAAAATAGTCAGATTTACAAGTGGTAATTGAAAAAGAGCCACAGTTTCAAAAGTAATGGAAATTTAGTCACTTTTTAGGTAAAGATAAATCTGAATGAAAACACTGTTCAAAATCAGGAAAATATTTCAGCATAATATACTGGAGTTTGAATTTTTTACATGTGAACTTCCAGCATAATATACTAGAAGTTCATATACATGTGCTCCAATCTCTAGTATATTATGTTGGAACTTGTTGTGCACTGGAGTTCCAACATAATATGTTGGAAGTTCACACACTTGTGCTCCAATCTACAGTATATTATGCTGGAACTTTCCGTGTTGCAGCAAAATAGGGTTATTTTTCAAAAACTTTGCAAACGCTAGCTATTTTTCAATTACCAGTCCGAAAACTGGTTGGTCCATGCTATTTTCACCTAAAAATCAGCCTAACATTCGTTGGGCTGAAATGGGTTGGGCCAAGATGGGCAGAGTTCAATAAATGGGCGGGTCAATGACCGGTCAACCTTGGACTGGTTGAAAGAATCAAATGGGTTTGAGCTCAAATTGCCACCTCTATGTTAGAGATATAAAATGCCATTATCAGTATATAGGATTTCAAAGGGTTTTATAGTAGTGTAAAGTTTTTGGTTGGATGTTTACATTTTTTTCACATAATATGAGTCTCAACCCATTCTATTGCTCTGGATCAATTATAGACTATCTCCATCTTTTATATTGTTGTGAAGTTCTCTTGTTCAACGTAATTATTTTAGTGGATTTTTCTTTGACTATCCTTCAAATACCTAAGAAGAGATTTAACAAAGTAAAACATGGAAGTCTGAAATGAAGAAGTGAGGATTCGTATAGTTGACTCTAACTTGTTTGAAACCGAAGCGTGATAATAGTTGTTAAAACATGAAAGTCGAATTATTTAATTGAAATATATGAACCATACTGACATTCTTAATTGGTGAACTTGTATCATTTTTTTACTTTCAAGTTATTATTCAACAGAAAACACAAACTTAATACCAAATTAACTTAAAAGAAAAGCAGGAAAATTTCAAATTACGTCAAAAGAGGGCCAGTGATTCATTATAGTGGATTATTATTTTATTGTTCAACTGCAACCAAAAAACTCAATAGCAACATCAAATCATTGACAATTAAGCATGTATAAAATTATCATAAACGTATTTATTCACCTGAAAAATGTATCTGCCCCATATACTGCAATACATGCATAAATCAAGTAAACATCATCCTAATTTTATCTGAAAATTAAGGGGTCAGTTTGACTGGAAACAAGTTATCCCATAATTACTTATCTCGGGATTAGTTATTTCTGGATTAGTTATCACATCCTCTCATGAGGATAGGATAATTAATTCTGAGATTAGTTATACCATGATTTATCCCAACAAAACGTGAAATAAACTCTTCTCAGATTTAATCTCAAAATTAATTATCCCTTATTCTTAGTACCAAACTAAAAAATTTAATTTGAGAAGAGACAAAAAGACAACTAATAGACCAAATGTTGAATATATCTATTGACAGTGATCTCCTAAAGGTGAGTGGGATCCAGCGTCCACCTATCCCTTTTTATTGGCAAAAACTCATCAAAGCAAATAATTTAACTATAAAAAATACTAATAAAAAATTATGATGTTAATTAGTCAGAATTAAATAAGAAGAGCTTATGTAAGAGAAATATGAAATGTATTTTATTAATTTGGTGTCAATTTTAGTAATGTGTTTTTCTAATCATATTTTGTCAACCTACGTGTCCACCTTTCATACACAAATCAATCGATAGCGAAATAAGTATATAATTAGCGGGTACAATTGAATTCGATATTTTTCATAAGTATAGTATATACATAAAAAAAATTACTAGCAGTTTGACAATATTAAATTTTTTACTCATAATTTCAATCAATAATAAAATTTAAAAATTAAACTCATTAAATTTAAATCTTAAACTTGCATATGCACACATTTTTCCTTTTCAAGGTAGCAAAGAATGGCAAGGATTTCTCAGTTGTAGATTGCTCAAAAGAAATCACAAATTTGTAAGTGTATTGTGAATATGAAATGAAATTATCAACTGAAAAGTCTATCTTAAGAAGAAGCTGGTAACATAATTACGAATATCAAAATTAATAATTAGCATTTTTATTTAATTAAACTGGAACCTTTTTTTTTGTTTGTTTTTTTGTTTGTTTAGGAAACTGCATGAACGAGCTTCGTAGATGCAAGTGCAACCAAGAGAAAAATTCTACTCACGCAGGTGGAATATGCTTTATTTTATCCCACTTTATTCCAAGTTCCAAGAATATACCAGTATTACCTAAGCAAATATAACTTCTTTTTGAATTAGTTATATATATAACTTGAAGTGCAACTTTTTTTGCTTATGGAACTATGTTTGGTTTTGTCCCCTACTCCAAATTCCAAGCACTCCAAATTCCAAGCATATACTCCCTCCGTTCACTTTTACTTGTTCAATATTCTAAAAATAGATTTTCACTTTTACTTGTCACTTTTAGCATATCAAGAGAATATAATTTCTTTTATCGTGTTATACCAACAACAAACAAAAACAACCTAGTATAATCCCGCTAGTGGGGTCTGGGGAGGGTAGTGTGTATGCAGACCTTACCCTTACCCTGGGGTAAAGATGTTGTTTCCGATAGACTTTCGGCTCCCTCCTTCCAAGAACTACACACCTTGTTCTTGGGTGACTCGAATTCACAACCTCTTGGTCGGAAGTGGAGGGTGCCTACCACTAGAGCAACCCACTCTTGTTATACTCATAGTATTAATTACTAATTTCAAATTATTTTCTCAAATTTATTAATAATGTGCATCAATTAATATGGGTATCATGGTAAATTATGCACTTCATTTATTATTTTTTAAGGGGAGTGCATAGTCCATAGTGGACAAGTAAAAGTGAACAGAGGGAGTACTACCTAACCTAATATATTTCCTTTGGGTAAAAATTTATCCGCATCGGGTGTTTACACCCATTCAATAAACAAATAACACATGTCACATTATTTAACTACAAGTATTATTCTTTAACCATAGTTAATTACCATGTGTTTTCCATATCATCTTAAATAATAATATTAAAAATACTTAATATAGTCTTGCAAAGCTCCGGTGTTAACGTTAATGGATGACGACATTAATTTCTTGTTCACTTTATGTGCCATCACTGGTCATTTACTAACACGAAACTTTTATTTTCCTTTCTACTAGTGTAACTATCATTATTTATATAGATATTTTAACTTTGAGTTAAAAATTTTAAACTTAACAAAGAAGCATCTACCTTAGCATACCCTCACTGGAAAACATCTAAAGATTAAAGACGAAAAAACTTTATAAAATTGGACTTGGCTTTGTACAGTTTATTGTTTAAGACTTGTTCTGGTTTTACCCCACTAATAATGGATATTTTTAACAAGACGAAAATTTAGCATACATAATGAGAAGTGTAATCTACATAATATAATAGGTTAATATAATCTTACAGTTCTAAATTTCAGGGTCTAAATGGAGGGCGAAACTTTCAGTAGACTCATCTTTCCTTTAATTCAAGTTGTTCATTGAAGCCGCAGAAACTTAATTTTGGTGAAGGAGAGAGTGAAAGTTCTCGTACCATTAAAGGTGCTCCTCTTGATGATGCAGAACTTCGGAATTAGATAGGAAATAAAAGAACGCCATAAGAAGACAAGAATAAAAGAAAGAAGAATCAAGAACTGACGACAACCTTGATTTTTTTAACTTATGTTAGTATGACTTAATTTCTTTTTTTATTTATTATTATTTAAAACGAGACTCCTAATAGACCTTATATTATATTATATTATTGACTTAACTATATTAGGTGTAAACATATGGTGCGGGTAAGTTTTTGCCTTTTCTTTGTGTATAAAGTTATAAGGAAAAATTGATCTGTATAACTGTTTACCTGTAAAACGGTACAGTTGAATTTGTTCGTGGTTTCTAGACAAGTGAATTAATTTGATCCAAAAGATAATAAAATAACTGATGAAATATAAAATACTTAATTTTAGAATGTAGATGGAACGACAAAGCTGATGAGTCTGGGAATAGGTTTCCGGGCACAACAATGATGAGATCAAAAGAGAGAAAATAAAATTTTATTAAAATATTATATAAAATATAGTGTAAGTTAGCCAGAAAATTCGTCTCATTTACAATGGTAACTGAGCTCTCTATTTATAGCTAAGTCTAGAGAAGGAAGTCCTAAGATCATGCCCTTCTTTAATGTTAATTATGAGGGCCATTGATGAAGATGTAAAGTTAGACATAAATGCCAAATTTCTTGTAACATGCCATCATCCTTAATGCTACAAAATATTCTGTATTAAATGTTATCGGGCGCAAAACAATTAATACTACTTCTATGATCGTTGTTCCATCCGGTGACAAGCGGAATAGCTATGTTTGGTGGTCATCCCCATCTTGTGTTTCACGTGTCCTTCTTTTAAGTGGCCATGTGTCATGTCGTATTTTTTTCTATACATATAGTCCCCCTACTTTTCGGTGACACAAACTTGAGTTACCAGGAAGTTGGTAGAAAGCAC